CCCCCCCCCCCCCCGCATGACCCCCTGGCACGTGTGCGTCTAGTAGGCTTGCGCGCACTTTGGGGGGGTTTGCGTGGGAACGGACATCGACGTCCGCGTCCTGAAGGGAAAGAAAGGGAGGAACGTCTTCACGAACTTCGGTGAGCCGGCAGACACACGCGCGAGCCATGATGACGGGGACGACGCATGGCACGCACGAACGTGATGGGGGCTTGATTCGCGGGGCTTGCGTGTTGGCAAGTTCAGACCACGCGCAGCAGCAACGGTAGTAGCAAGCGGGGGCAGCTCAACACCCGCTCGCAAACGGTGTTGGAGAGATGAACGTACAAACACACACACAAGTTTGTTGCTCCCTCGAAATTGAGACTTGTGCTCAATACTATGAGAAGTTGCCCGCTCGCACAGGCTTGGCTGGTCGCTGGAAAACCCGAAGCGCACGGGTATTCGACGTGCAAGTGGCAGACTCTGTTGGGTGCCGGCCGCATTTGCGTTTGTCTCTATTCGGACTTGGAGGAAACAATGCCCTATCTCGGATAGGGTGCGCGGTCACTGGTCACCTACGGCATGAAACAAATGACAACGACCTCTCTCCCCCTCCCTCCCTTGTTTTTCACGATGCCTGCTCCGCGTGGTGGCCGCGCCTACGCAGACAAGTATGGGCTGCCACGTCCGGAGCTTGTTCGGTCGGACAACGCGCTCTATGGGAGACATTTTCGCGTCATGGAGCTCTACGACTGCATCGTCACGGACCCGCCGTACGGGATCAGGTACGTGTCTGTTCTGGTGGTGCGAGGCCACAGCCGTGTGTCCGGTGCGGTATCAGTCTTACCCCCTCGCCCTGCGTTCGAGGTAACCTTTATCCCTCCCCCTTTCCCCCCTTGCGTTACCTCCCAGCTACTGTAGATGGAGGTTGCCGGACCTTTTTTTTTTTCTCTGTTTTTGTGGATCGGGCGAGAGGTTGTCTGCGTCAAAACCGTGCGCCCATGATCATCGTACCCGGAAATAAGAAATACCAGGCACACGCGTTTTTTTTTTTTTCAAATTATATGATGTTCCCATAAATCATTCGATACCCGCTCTTCCGTATTGCCGGTCCAGTGTCGAACATATCACCACAACCCCCAAGAGAACGTTTTTGGCACCCCGCTGCCCAATCGCCTTGGCTGGCTGGGGGCTCCGTGGCTTCTGCGAAAACGACTTCGGGGAGCGCGCGGAGGTGGGGCAGTATGTCCAGCGAGCCTAATAGTCTCGCCGAATGACTAAAAAACCGAATACCGAACACCGGCCGTGTGGATAAAGGTTGTTTGAAGCACCACATGAAGCGGAAGGGCGTGGCATGATATGACATACGAGTGTGTTTTTTCGACCCCAGGGCTGGTGCGCGCAAGTCTGGGCGGGAGGGGGAGGCTCGCATCGTCAAGCCGGACGAGAGGTTCGACCACATGCCGCACACGCAGCACTACCCCGTGGAAGATGTCTTGGTCGATCTCCTAGAGGTGAGCGAGGTCTACAGGGTCTACGAAGAGCTCACTTTCCCCCGCAGCAGCAGCCGTATGTTTGTGTTCAAGCACACTTTTGCGTCCGCGGCATGAAGCCGTTCGATCTTGGCCTCTGTATATGGGAGACCAGCGTTGTTTTTTGCAAGCGCTTGTCAACGCCTGGTCTTTTGCTTCTGGGTTGGGTTGGCTTTCTTTCCCTTCCCGCAGGCTGTATTCTTTTTGCTTCTCTCTGATTGGCGCATACATTCAACAACAGAGAAACACAACCATGTGCCTGCCATGTCCACTCACATGTTGGCGCACGGAATCTGCTCTTGCTTGCAAGTCCATTGCCAAGAACGCTAGAAAAAAATGATTCTCAACATCATCCAAACCGTGACGCTATGCATACATCCCCGAAAAGGCGGGAGAAGTTGACATCAACCTTAACACAGCGTCTCTATACTCGGGACGAGAAGAGTGGTATGCTGTGTCACTTTAGAACCATTCCACTTCTTCCCCGGAGGCCATCGCGTGTATCACTTCTGTGTCTTATTTTATTTTGTTTTGTTGTGGGTGACACATGAATCTCCCTGGCTGCTCAAATTCTTGTGGCCCGCTCCTAAGTACACAGCGCAGTGGACGGCTTCTTCCGCCCTTGAACTTTTTTGTTGGTCTTCGTTCTCTCTCTTCCCCCTTCCGGTAGGTGGCGGCCCAGACCCTCGCGCTGGGCGGGCGGCTGTGCTACCTCTTGGCGTCGACTTGGGAGTTCGACCTGCAGAGGGACCTGCCTCGGCACCCCTGCCTGGAGCTGTCCCACCACAGCATGCAGGGCTTGACGCAGCTACTCTGCCGGCGTCTGATCACGATGACCAAGGTGAGCGAAGGGTGGAGAGCGGCATTCCTATAAGATGTTGCTCGGGTTGTAAAAATATAAAACGAAGAGAAACGGAGTGGAGGACACGCCGAAAAAGGGTCGTTGCCGCCGTTGTCGGTTGAGGTGGTGGTGGTGGTGGTGGCCGTGGTCGATTACCTCAAGCGACGACACCAAGTTGAGTCGTAGGTGATATTTCTTACGTCAAACGGGGACCAACACGACCTTCCCGCGCTCACTCCGCTCCACACTGGATTTTCGTTTATGGGGGGAGATTGACTCTCGGTTACTTTCTTTTTTCGACCCTCAACCCCCCCCCTCCTCCTTCGGTACTTTTCATCGATAATGGACGACGAAATGCCAGACGTGCCGGTACGACCCCCTCCGACGAGAAGAGTACATCGCGGCGTGCCGCCTACACCAGACGAGCGGCGAGCGAGGGAGCGCTTTCGCGGCGGCGGCGGCGGCTGCAACGGAGGAAGATGGCGGCTTCCGGCAGCGGCAACAGCAACAGCAGGCAGGGGAGGTTCGCTCTCGTACACCACCGCTAGCTCCCGGTGCTGCTGGTACTGCTGTAGGAGCTAGCGGCGGCAACGCTGCTGCTGATGCTGCTGCTGCTGCTGCCGATGGTCTGACGTCCGTGCTCCCCAGGGAGAGAACCAAGCAGATGACGAGGCGCGGGGAGCTCACCTCGGGCAACGTCTGGTACGCCGCCATGGGAAACAGCCGGGGCGGCGGCGGCGGTAGTGGTTCTTCTCCCTCTAACACAACAAGTAGTCGCGGCCGCCAGACCGCGAGTAATAATAATGGTAGCGGGGGTTGTGGTGGTGAGGTAGGAGGTGGGACCCCCGCGGGTGGTAGGGAAGGTGGCGGAATTGCTACGGAGGGGGAGGTGTTGGAGGGGGGTGGGGCGCGCAAGAGCGGCGAAGACAGCGGCGGCGATGGGGATACCGTGGGGGTGGACAGGGTTACTATGACGATACCCGGCTAGGCCTGTAGTGCATACATCTGCGGATACCTTGTGTTTGCGGGCGTTTATGCTTGCACTTTATTTTAGCTACGACACGCCGGCTTTTATTTGATCGCTACGAAGTACAGGCTTGCCAGCGGCTAGGAACCCATCACGAGAAGTGCGCGAGGAATCAACGTTCACGCATGTTCTCCAGTTTCTGTTTTTACCACACCGTACATAACCGCAGGAGGTGGTCCAGCCCCCCCCTCCTATGTGACCCCGGTTGGGTCGTCTAGCTAGTAGAAGTGGAGGAGAGGGGCCAGAGGGGCAGACGACAGAGTCCAATGATGGGAGAAAAAAAAGATATATATATATATTATGTAGATGCTCGCACGTTGTTTTTTTTCCTGTTTCAATCCTTCCTCGCCCGCTTCGAACCTTGTCTCACATTTTGGGCGCATGCTCACAGTGTTCTGCTCTCGCCATTATTCGCTGCGAAGGTTGATGTCAATATCATCCTACAGCTGAACGCAAACAACTACAAATCGCGCCGCCCCTGAAGCGCGCATTTCTTATATCGCCCCGAGATCGGGTCGTTAGCTCCTTTGCCTGGCTACATAGCAAGCGGGGGCCACTGCTGCTGTGTTGTACACTCACCCATAGCGGTGGTTTTCACAAGAAGATACATGTACGCGGTGGAAAAATGTGAGACGCGTCCCGTACTATTCAGCAGTCCTGCTGCAATAAAAAATGGAGACTCAAGTGCACAAACGGACAATAGTCGCTGCCGCAGGTGGTTTATAGCTGTTGTCGCTGGGCAAGGTTTCGTCATTGTCACGTGGGGAAGAGCTTGTGCATTTGAGCGCTGAGTGACACGTGTTGATGTCCCATGGAAAACCACGCGAATTTCCCATAACAAATTCACGCCGCCGGTTTCAGCGGGGAAGTTATTGTTTCATCCCCCCCCCAGCCAGGGCATGGCTGAGCCCACTTCTTTCACCACCTCGTGCTCCTCACACAGACCCTGGCGTGCCACCAAAGTAGACGCGTACTTCAGACAGGTCATACCATCCATCGGAAAGCTGTCTTTTTTGCCCTCTCATTTTGCTCTGAACAGGAGAAATGCCGCACCATGACATCTGGATTGAAGTCGTTGTCCCTCTGCAGCACGTGGCTTTTTCAGGTCTCAGGAGGAAACTTTCACGCCCAAGGTGCATGCACCTTCGTAGAGTCAACCAAATTAACTGAATACTGGAATGTGCATAGCTTCATAGGTGTTTCACGATTTGCCGCTATGCACTGTTCGGGATCGACCCTCTTGGCGATCAGAGTTGGCCTGCAGAAGTAGACAAAAACGACCGAAATCAACTCTAAACTCCAGTACTTTTACAAGCCGCAAAAAAAAAACGAGACCCCAGACATAGTCTACATGTCGATGAGCCTACCTCCAATTATATATTTTATCAAGAAAGTCAAGTCCTAGAAGCACGCAACAGAACTTCGAGCCAAACAAAGTTGCACCTTTGAAGTGTACATCAAATTGCTCCACAATCACAGGGTACGTAGCCTGGTGGGTAGGGAGCGAGTTGGTGCTATGCAGACAACTGTGAGTTTTCGTCGCGGCCTACTAACCTCTCGGGGTTGGCCGGTCGCCCAGGTCGTCTAGTTGGTATCCTCGAAGAAACCTTCTAGTCTATCTAGAGGTCAGGTCGGTCAGGGGTTCGAGTCCCCGCGTAAGCGAGCTTTTCTTGCAAAGTGAGTTCTTCACTCGCTTCCGCTCCTCCTGGCCTAGTGGATAGCGCTAGATAGATCGTGTGTACTCAACGAAGGGAGTTGCCGAACTCTTCTCGCATTTATTTAAAATGGAAGGCAAAGTACCGCAGGACGGGAGGGTAGAGAGGGGCTCTTCTTTTACAGAATCTGTGTGACCACGGGTTGGTTGGTTGCAGTAAAACAGTACTCAGGCCCATGTTTATGGTTTCCATATCTTTTTCTTCCTTTCTTTGGACAAATAAATGTTGGCTTTTTCGACCTTGTCTGTGGACAGTCTGCCTCCCAAACGAATGCGAATCAGCTGTTCGACCTTTCTTTGAGAACAGTCACACACAGTTAGCTTTGCCTCAGATTTCTACAGATCGCCTACATTTTTCGCCAGGGCCCAGGTCTGATTTTTTCAAGATAGATGCGCAATTATCACGCAAGATTTTTCCAACACACGCTTTTGGACAGATATTGGCCCAAGCTTTGCTCCGAGTTGGCCTTTCGGCCGAATCTTTAACATCTTGCTCTCTCTGCTGGATGGAAAAATATCAAACAAATAGATAGATAGGCGGTCTGTATGCATCTCAGGCAAACAAAGCTGTGACTATTCTCGAAAGATCAAACAGACAGCTGATTCGCACTCGTTCGTTCGGGAGGCAGACTGCCCAAAAAAAGGTCGAAAAAGTCAACGTGTATTTGTTGTCCAAAGAAAGAAGAAGAAGAAAGGAAGATAAAAGATTTGGAAACCATGAAAAACATGGGCCTCAGCTATATTTACAAGTTTTTCTAAAACAAAATACAGTATTGATTGGTACAAAATATTCCACTTCTTACTACATTAAAGAGATAGATTTAAGTATTATAACGGCAGGAGGAGGAGCAATTAATGTAAAGCGAGGAAAGCAGAGCAATAATAAAGAGAACTTGTACTACTTCATTATTTATTATGTCTTATACTTTATTCTATTTAGTGCTTGCTGTGAGCGCTGACTTGAAGTGAATGTTAAAACAGCTGAAAAGACGCTCATACAAAACGCTCATACATCTCTCACCTTCGTAGCTGAGTACGGTATGTGCGCGGACCTTCGTAGCTGAGTACAGTTCGTGCGTAGACCGGTTCCTCGGGGCTGGGAATCAGTGTAATGCAGGGGGGTTGCGCTCACCTGTCTTCGTTGTCTCTCCCGGACGGTATCCATTCCTTGTACGGTATCAAGCAAATAGTGTCGCAGCTTGCTGACGACCTTCGTGCGAATGATGACTGTGAACACGTGCATCTCATAGCATACGGTAATAACCCACCATCTCATGTTAGCATGACTTAGTTAGGCATGCGATAGACATGTCAAAGGGTGATAACGTGCACTTTAACAGGCTTTATTATCTTCCGTCCACATGGGGGGTGTTAAGTAAACACCGGGTGGGTAGCAACGTTCGCGAAAACGTGCCACNNNTTCAAGTTGTCTCTTCTTCGTAGATGCGGCATAACCGCCGCCTCTTCGAATCCTCTAGAGGGCAAACAGGGAAGCGTCCGATACTTCAATTCCTGTTTTATGGCCCCCATACCCCTAGCGCCGCGACCACCGGACAGTCACGGCCCATCATAGTATTTTGTGTAGATACGCGCAGCCGCCAAAACATGAAGACCAAAAAAAATCCTTAGTTAGGTAACCTGGTTGTTGTTTCTAACATTAGCTCCATAGTCCACAAAAAATAGGGAGCCCGTGGTCTCAAAACCCGGGGTTGTTGTTGTTGTTGTTTCTCACATTAGCTCTAAAAAAGAAAGATTGGGAGCCCGTGGTCTCAAAACCCGGCATACACGACCCCACGAAGAAACAGAAAAAAATAGGGTACAAAAACCACTCGGAAGAGAAACAAAATGATAGAAAGAAAGACCAGCTACAGCACCAAACGAGAAAGANCAGCAAAGGAAAAAACAAAAAATAACAAGGAGCTCGAGGTATCGTCCAAGATCATCGTAGAGAGGGCATGGAGAACAAGAAAGTGTGATTCTATGATGATAATATGATAATAATATGTTGATTGTGAAAAAAAAAATGGTATTTTTTCCATGGGCTGCAACACGCGTGGTACCGAATATTATGACGTAAGATAACTCACCCCCTGGACCAATGTTCAAAGCTCAATTACTCCACGACCAAGAGAATGCATAAACGAAACGATACATTTTTGGAAAGCTCTCGATGAGACGGTTCCAACGCCGCCATTTTTGGCGCCGTAAATTTTTTGTTGTTGAGAAATCGAGATTTGAAAATCGGTCTAGGGGGTGTTTTATCTTGTGTCATTTACGGTAATATTATCCGGCCGCAGGAACTCCGCAGCACATGCAGGTACATACACGATTCTGCGGGCCCTCGCTAGTTGGGGGTCCTCGAGCTTGATAATGAACTGGAATGTATCCCCAGTCTATCGCTCTACCCTCTTTCCCTCTCGCACTCTTCGGCTGTCGCAGGGCCGGAGCGCCCGCTGCACTCGTCGTCGCGCGGCTCGCCATCATCCCAAGGGTCTCTACCGTGCCGTGCCGATAAACAACAGGTGTGTGTATGTGTTTACTCTACACATTTGGTGAAACGGACCATGGCGAGGCAGATCGGAGTATTTATCGTTTCACTGAGTTTTTCGGGTCATTGTCATGCACATGGTAGCACCTAGTCACGACCGCTGTGTATGATCACACGGTCGGCTCGGTTAGCCGTTCTCCCACGCGGCTCCTAGCAGCTTCCCCAGGAGGGGGATCAGTGTATTTGATGGCGATGGTCATGCTGTCTCCGTTGAGGGCTGGTGGGGCCTGACCGAGTGTCGTCACGGCACGAAAGTTTGAGCCTTGAAAATCGGGACTCTACATTTCGGAGCGGAGCTTGTTTTTTTCTCACCCTCGGCTTGTTGGTTGGTGTGCTGCCTCGTATGTATGACGCGCACACCGCACTGCCGCACGCGTTGGAATGTGCGGTTGGCTGGCTGCCTCCCTCCTGCCGCCGCAATCCTCTTGATTCCCCGCGCTGCTCTATTGGTCCCTTCCTCTCACGCTCGTGTCGTGTGTACATGATCGTCGTCCCTCACTCGCTCTGCCCTTGGCATCTTGACAGAGATCCGAAAGTTGGAGAGCGGGAGCGCAGGGCGGAGCAGGGCGGGCGGGGCTACGAAAGCTGAACTCGAGAGCCATCCATCCATCATGTCCATAAGGCGGCGGGACTCCCCCCCTGCTTCTTCTTCTGCCTGCCGGCCGGAGGAGGAAGAGGAGGAGGAGGAGCCTTTGGCAGTAGGGGAAGGCGGCGGCGGCACCATGGACACGGAAGAACCCAGAACCCCCGTTCAAAGCGGCGGCGGCGATGATGAACTGGCTGTTGCACGTGCCACTGCTGCCGCCGCCGCAGCAGCAGTAGGCCGAACTGCCACCAGCAGTCCTCCGCAGCCGCGGCCCGTCGCCGACCTCCCTCGGGGCTCGCCCGAGTCTTCTCCTGCTCCTCCTCCTCCTGCTGCTGCTCCCCCCGCGTTTGGTTCTCCCAGCCACCGCGCCGATAGCAGCGACTCCGCCATGAGCACCAGGATCGCCACGCGCCTGGCCATTGCCCACAACAACGCCGCCGCCCGCAGGCGTCACGCGAGGCTGCTCGACGCCAGGTCCATGAGGAGGAGCATTACAGCCTCGCTGCGGCCAGGGGTGGGCGTGGAATCTCACCCGCCCGCTCTTCTTCCGGCAGTGGCCATCGCCACCGCCGACAACGATGCCGCCGGATCCTGCAGCAGCAGTAGTAGTGCCTTGACCGCCGCGAGATATGGTTGGACCCGTCAGGTAGGCGAAGCGAGGGCGGCGGCGGCGGGTGTCGGCGGCGGCATGATGACGGGAAGCATTACCGATGACAACGACGACGACGACGACACCGACAGTGACACCGAGTCTGCCCTACACCCGACAGCAAGAAGTGGTGCCGCAGAACACAACACCACCACCAACAGCGGTGTTCCCACTGCTGCTAGCCCCGTGGAAGATGCTCCGACCTCTGCTGCTGCTGCTGCTGTTGCTGTCCGCCGGCCTGGTGTTGCCCACAGGAGGAGAGCCCCCACCAGCGCCACCGTTAGCCCTATCGAACATGCTCCGACTACTGGTGGTGTCGCCCGTCGTTCTTCTGGTGGTACCATGAGGAGGCGAGGCTCTCGTGTCACTACTTCTACTAGCCTTGTCGTTGAAGATGCTCCGATTGACCCTGCTGCTGTCCCTCGGTCGGGTGGTGCTCCCCGGAGGCGAGGCATCTACAGCAACAGCAACAGCAGCAGCAACACGCGAACCACAGCGGCAGCGGTTGCGGTGGGTGCTGTCGCCACCGAAGGAGCAGAAGATGATTCTGATTTCGGTGGCACGACCGCTGCCAACGGGGATGGCGATATCGCCAACAGCGGGGGTACTTCTTCCGCTGCTGTTCCCGGCGGGGCGGAAGCGTGGGTGAGAGCGGGCACAGCGAGGGCGGCTGTGGCGGTGGCATCACCACCCGGCCCGACCAGGAGGGGCGGCGGCGGCGGCACCACGGCGATCGACGGCGGCGATGCGGGAGGAGTAGCAGCCGGTCAAGTGGCGGCGATAGCCGCCGCAGCAGGAGAAACAGGGGCGGCAGCAGCAGCAGCAGCAGCAGCAGCAGCAACAGGGGATACCAACAACAACAGTGCTGGCACCAACAGCAGTAGATCGGCGGCGGGGGTATCGGCGATATCGGCGAGGGTTCACCAGCTGCACAAGGCTAGCGTGGTCGGAGACCTTGCCGCAATCTCTCGGTTCATCAAGGACGGGGGCAACCTCGAGGCTCAGAGCTTTTGCGGGTGAGTTTTTTAGGGGGTTCCTGGAAGCGGCGCCAGGCCACCTTCTGTTGGTTTGTGCGTGGACGTGGGGAACGATGCGTCGGTTTGTTTGTGTGTGTTCGTTCCATCGTTATTCTCGTGCCAGTGTACGTACGCTCTTCAGTAGATTAGTTTCAACTTACAGCGGGGGTCACACAGGAGGGAAGGCAAGTACGAAACAGGACCCTTGTGTGTATTTTGTCCCACCTTGGACGGCGCGGTGTGCTTGCTTTTGTTTTTCTTTGCACGAGAAGGGGTACAAAGCAGCCCTCTTGTAACTGCTGGGTACTCCTGAATTGATGGCCTTTCCACAATAGTAGAACTGCAATTTGTTCACCCACGACAGATGTGCGAGCCCGCACGTGCTGCTAGTACCATTATCGTAGTAGTGTTACAAGGTTAAGGTTTACCCTACTGAGACCACCGGGGCGACCGGAGTGGTGACACAGAAAAATACTCTGCACCACGCAATGAGTCGGCCGTCCCAGGAGGGCTTAGCTTTGCGGCAGGGGAGCGGGGCGGGGGGGAGGAGTGGCGTGGTGCTCAGGAGTGTCAGCAAAGGATAAAATGGAAGGGGTGGGGATTATTTTACAGAGTAGGCATTCATCAGGAACCAACAATAACGAAACGGTGGCGTGGGTCGCAGCTTCTAAGCATGTCAGCACCTGCCCCCGGCAGGCATGAAGGCGTAGCTATCGAGGGTATGTGGTCTAGACGTTTCGCTTCGCGAACAAGATCTATGCTAGCAATCGTACACGACGCTGCCGGCGTCATTAGAGGTTTCACAGTTGTTCTTTGCCAGACGCGGATGCACAAAGTGGGCGACGGAGGCGTTGCCAAATCCGACCAGATATCCTTTCGCCAGTTTGTTTTGCTTGACGTGATCTGTCCGCCTGCAGCTTCAATCAAGACAATAACGCTTTTTTTTTTCGCGGTATGCCTAGCTTCTGCCGGCTGGGGGGGGGGCGGGGGGAGCGCGACTGCGTTTGTCTTGGCTGAATCCGACGATCTCAAGCGTGGGGGCCTGCCGTGGTTGTTCGCGTGAGCTATTTGGATGCGCAACTGAGCTTTTGCTCCCTCTCCATCTCTTTGCCTCCCTTTTCCTCTGTCTCCCTCTGTCTCTCTGTCTCTTCTCTGTGGCTCTCTCTCTCTCCCTCGCCCTCTCTCGCTCTGCCTTGTTCTCTCTCCGTCTCTTTCTCCCTTCTCCCTTCCTCCCTTCCCCCCTCAAATGAAAACAACCACAGTCGGACGGCGCTACACTACGCCGCTTTCTACGGCCATGCGGACGTAGCGCGCGCTCTCATCCTCGGCGGGGCCAACGTCTCCTCGAGGGGAGGAGGAAACTCCACCCCGCTTCACTTCGCGGCTTGGGGGGGAAACAAGCCCGTCGTCCGCCTACTGCTGGACTACGGCGCGGACGTCGAGGCACGCGATACGGAGGGCAACGCTGCCCAGGTGCGCTTGAGACAAGTAGCCTTTGCAGGTTTTTGCGACCTAGTAAATATGTTGGATACAGCATGCAGTCGGTGAAGCTGGGTTAGGGTTATAGGGCCTGCGTGCCTCCACCCTGATGTATTTCTTCAATAAGCTCACTTTCTCGCGAAGGCGGTCCGCTTGAGATGATGGTGACGGGCCGGGGCACGGCCGAGGGGGGGGGGGTGTACTTCTACTCATAGTCGTGCATGCCGTAGTCGTTAGACCATTGACCTCTCATCCCTACAA